CAGCGGCTGCTCAGCTCGGGCTGGACTCGAACCGCTGTTGCTCAGAGCTCAAACTCTTGAGCGAGCTCTTAACCAACTGAGCCACTTGGCAGGCCCAGTCCATGCTTTTCTTAAGATTAGTAAAGCAAACAAGAATAAAACTAATGGGTTTAACTACTCAGAATTAAAGATTCCTGTCTAATCTTCCCAACAGAGTTCATGAAGGGGCCACAAGCAGAGAGAAGATATTTGCAACATCAAAAACTGATGAGAGCGCTTGCTTCTGCAGCACAGATACTAAAATTGGAATGATACAGAGATTAGCATGGCCCCTGAACAAGGATGACATGCAAATGTGTGAAGCGTTCCACGTTTAAATAAAAAGAAAAAACCTGATGAGGAGGTTTATCTAAAGAAAAAGTCAGATGATCCAATAGAAAAATAAGTGCTACAACTGTGCAGTTCACTGATGTGGGATCCAAATTGGTCCACACCCACAGTAAGAAACACTCAACCCCCCACTAGCATTCGTAAAGTTCAAGTAAGAGAAGATGAGATGCCATTTTATGTTCATCAAACTAGCAAAAATGGGGAAATCGTATGTAACATCTACTACAATTTTGGTGTATTTCCTTCTGGTTAAAAAAAAAGTACATTTAAAAAATAGATTTGTGATCAAATCAAGCTTTCTCCGTATGCCTCCCCCTCCCTCTCAGTGGCCAGATCTCACCCAGGTGATGGAGACACCGCATCCCAGGGGAGATATGCACATCCTTCTACTCACTTTTCCTCTACTCCCTGGCAGGTCCAACAGGGCTGTGCCACACAGCCAGTTACCTGCTGAGTTACCTTCCCATCTTTCCCCTTAGGCCAAAGTCACCAGGGTAGAGGGATCAGGAGACCCACCTGCTTGGAGAGTTCCAAAGATAACTGTTTACATTCACAAAGGGAGGTTTGCACAGACATTCACCCAGACCCAAAAACCAACAGACGTGGACTGCACTCCATTCTCCCATCCTCTTCTGTGTACCTGATACCTGATTGAATTAAAACATTCACAGGAGTGGGTGTGGAGAGGAGCGAGTCAAAATAGCAGCAGGGGCTATGCGCACTGAGCTAGTTCATTTCATCTGAAATGTTATGAGTGAAAAATGTCCATAGGCCACAAAGGGGACACTTGAGGTCTGAATGACTCATCCGGAAATTGTCACTCTTAATGTTTCATGATCATTCTCTTGAACTGGTCCAAGCAGGAAGGTACATGTTGACCATGCTTGGGTTCCATTTTAGCTCGTCAGCCAGCCAAGGGGTGCAGAATTTTCGGACACTGGCACAGCAGCAGGAGGAGTGCCTGCTTCCTCAGGATGCAGGCTGTCTTTTTTTTTTTTTTTTTACCTCATCCACATTAACACCCCTATTTAGAAAGGCTGACACATCACTATAAGTACCTCTGAAAATCGCATCTGGCCAAAGGCATCAGCCGGATTTCGGATTCTTGCCAAAACTGGAGATAATTTTTTTTTCTTTCTTTGAATGCAGTATCTCCCTCATGAGAGCATATAGCTCTTACAAGAAGAAATTGAGAATCTAGTTTGGGGAGGGGGACCCCTCAATTTTCTTTTCCCAATGTCAACCTCACAAAATCTGGTACCAAGTGCCCTGGGATTTTGTCATGGAAGATGACTCAGTTAATTAACACACTGCTCCTCGTTGTACACTTGGAAACAGAGGTTCAGTTTCCTTTGGTTCTTGCCAAAGCTGCTTATGAAACATATCTGGTGCTGGTGCCCACGGCGTATAAAAATACCAGTTCATACTTTCCCCTGATACATTTCATTTCGGGCTAAATTTAGCACCTCGCCTGGGGCCTGGCAGCTCACCTGCTCCTAACTAGCAGTCTCCTCTTTCATGCCTGCTGCAGGGTGCCCATGTTCCCGTTTCCAGCCCCGTGTCTTCACTGATGAAAGTGACATCTAGAGAAACAGATGTGACTTGTCAAAGACAGGCTCTGGGTGCTTGGGAGGCCTGACTGCATACTGGCGATCAACACTGGATATCCTGTGAAAAACACCTTTGTCACCGGCTTAAAAAAAAGGTCTCAGTGTTCGACCACATGTACCTTTGCTTAGAAGTGAGACGAACAGCATTTTGGGGGCTCTCCTCCAGTCGGAAACGAACTGTGCGGGCCAGCTCTGTCTCTGCCAACCTCTGCGCGCCACTGCTGGTAAATTCCCACCTTCACCTCCGACCTCTCCGCGCAGCGGGCGTCTGCAGAGGGGTGCCGGCCGCGGGAGGAGCCGGGCGGGCGCAGAGAGCGCAAGGGTGCTGGGAGGCTGTGCCACTCGGGGGCTACGCTCAATGCCACGAGCCTTTCCCCCATCCCATTAGGAACGTGTTCTTTGCTTATCCATTTGTGAGAGCGCTTTCCGCAGGCAGAACTCAGCCCCCTTGTGACAGGTGTATATTGGATTTTTTCACTCGCTTCTCGGCGCAGTTTATCCATCCGCACCGTGCGTGGGTCGCCTGTAACCCGCACGCCCCAGCGGTGACATCACGTCCGTGTTTACAGTCTCTTTGGACAGCCACCTTTTGCGTCCAAGGCTAGGGGGGTCCCAGCTAGGGTCTGTGCAAGGGACCGAAGACACACAAACCACAAACTCCGTGGTGCGCGCGAAACACTGACCCACGGCACCTCTGCGAAACCTTTTATAGCAAGCCGGCGAGGGGCAGGGCCGACCGGCGCCGCGACGTGCTGACGTAAGTCCGATGGTGGGCGGGGCAAGGGAGGCAGCGTTCACTTGGGTACCTCCGGCGGCGCCTCATCCTCTCTCCTCAGCCTCCTCAGCGTCCTCTCCGTCCGCCTGCTCCGCCCCTGGGCTCCTCTTCGGCCGCCCGCGGCCGCCCGTCCTCCTCTGCGCCCTCTCCGCGCCCGTCGCCATGGGCCCGCGCCCGCTGCGCCGCCGGGCCGAGGGGAGCTGAGGCGCAGCGCCAAGATGGGCGAGGGCGGAGCAGGGCCCGAGCACCAGCCGGAGCAGCCCGGGCGCCCCGCGCGCGCCCG